GATTATAGTTTTATTTTACCTCATCTAGACATCATTAATTAAAACTATAATCTAATAAAAAATTACATAATTTCAGCAAAAAGAAAAACTAAGAATATAAATGGAACAAGTATCTAAAACAATAACAATTATTCTTAAATATAGTAAATATAACAATGAGAAAAAGACAGTTTCGTGACAATATAATATAACACAATTTTAACAATTTAGTAAAATAAAATATAAATGGATGAAACTAAAAACAATGTCAAGTCTAGAACACGTAAAACTTAAATCTAGTAATTTTGATATAATAAAAATAACGAAACTGTGGCTTAATTAAATATTTTATCTTAAATTTTTGAATAAATTTATAGAAATTAACTTTGTTATCTGAATTCTTTACTGAAACGGAATGGAAATTAGCAACATTAAAATTAAAATTATGAACAATTTTCAAAAAACTGGAGTATAATAAAAGAAATAAAATTATTAAACGAAAAGATTTTAATCTGTTGACATAAACTTTTACTGACCTCTTCCCACAGAGCAAAGTGTAGTTGACAGCTGAATCCTTTGAGAGTTTGATATCTATAATTTTCTGACATTTTAACAAAAGACTCTTTTGAAATAAAATTGGACTAGCTGCTCGACTATAGGGTTGAAAACAAAATCTAAAATCCTTTGCATAGCCATAGTGGGGATAAAGGTTTGCAGGAGGTTTATTATGGAGTTCATTCATTAAAATTGGTGATAGGAATTTATTAAAATTATCTTCTAAAATGAAGGTTTTCAAATTGAAATTGTAAAATATAAAATTGTGATTAACTAAATATAAATTTTGATTAGCATGAAACTTATTAAATTTGGTTGGAAGTGAACAAAACAACTGAGGATTAAGTTTCGAAGGAATAAAATTAGGTTCTAAAATTTGTTTGAAAGTATGAAAGGAACGTGGACAAATATTTGTTAAAATACCACTAAGCGTGTCAATGTTTATTGACTTAAACTTGTCTTTAAATTTAAAATTTTGTTTTAAAAATATCTTATTTTTTCTTACACTATCTAAAATTTTGCCTATGCTATCTAAATTAAAATTACCTAAAATTATATTTTTGTAGGAATTTGGAACAAAATTAGAAGATTCAGAGTTTCTGGAAATTTGAAAATTTGGAACATATACATCTTTACTAATATTCGACTTTTCTAATGTTTCTAAAGAATTAATATTACTTACTATCCTAGCTATGAATTTAGAATTTGAATTTAATTTTGTTTCTGAATTGAAATTTAATTTAAAATATACAGTATCAAAAATTAACTTGGACTCTGGAAAATTGATCTTACCATTAAATGTTTTTAAAAAATCTAAACCTAAAATGCCATCACTATTAATAGGGAGGTCATCCCTAACTATACTAAAATCGTGTCGAACTATCTTATCACCTAATAAAATTCTTAAATTTGCTTTTCCTAAACTATCTACAGCCTTACCCGACACACCAGTGATGCTAAATTTATTTTCTGTACTAGTTTTAATGTCTATGCTATCTTTTAATTTGGAAATTTTAATAATACTAATTTCGGCACCAGTGTCAACCAACATGTTAACCTGGTCCTTCTCGGTATCTAGGAAATTTAAATTAGCATAAACTAAATCATTTTTATTTGAAATACAAGAAAGTTGAACTGTTCTTAGTTCACCTGCTTTGCAAATCTCTTCATTGCTGGTGTTCGGCTTATCTACCTTTTCAATAAAATTAACTTTAGAGCGTTGTTGCTCATTGAAAATTCTTTTCCTACAATCTTTAATTATATGACCCGAAAGCTTGCAATAATTACATTTAAGTACTTCGGGTTTAATATCAGAATGGAAACTAGGATTAGGATTGTGATTATAACTAGAATTAAAATAAGAATCAGGATTGTAATTAGAATTAGGATTAAAATCAATTTTTGTACTAAAATTTGGATTTGGTTTAAATTTAGAATTTGGATACAAATTTGAATCAGAATTGAAATTGGAATTTGGATTAAAATTAGGATGTGAATAAAAATTAGAATTAGAATTAAAGTTGGGATTTGAATTAAAATGAGTTCTTGGAAAATTATATCTATTTGAAACTAAGGATGAATTTAAGGAAACTTCTTCTTCTGTTGCTATCGATATAGCTGAATCTAGATCAATGGACTTACATTTAACAATAGTCTTAAGTTCAGGGTGTAAACCCTCTTTAAAAACATGATAAGCTTGTTTATTTAAAATTTGTGAACAAAAAGCATCAGTAGCAGGGTTGTTATTTTCTCTAATTGTTGCATCTGTTAATTCTCTTAAAGTATTTCTAAAACGAAAAGCATAATCTGTAACATTTTCTTTAAAGCCCTGCCTACATTGACTAAATTCAATTTGTAACGAAGCTACTGATCTGACACTAAAATAATTTTTTTCTAAACATGATTTTAAATCTGAAAATTTTGTTAAAGTTTTGTATCGTGTAGCCTCCATTGCACGACCACCTAACTTTACATGTAAAATAAAATTTAATAGGGGTAAATGATCACTGGGATCAATATTATCAAAAATATATGAACATGTGTATAAAAATTCGCTTAATTTAGTATGGTCACAGCCATCAAATCTAGGTACCATATCCATGGCCTTTTCGAAAGATAAAACTGGGGCCATGTTAGCAATTTGGTTTTATTTTAATATGAGGATTAAAGGAAATAAGGAGGATTTGGGAATTAAAATAGATCTAGATGTAATGACTATGCAATAAAAAAAACAAAGTTACTCTCACCCAAACTAAATGTTACTCGACTCTCAAAATTGGATTCTGCTGACAAAGTATTCTCTGCTGTAGAAGGTCAGCAATTTCGCGTTCTCCCGACATCAACACTAGATTTTGAACAATAGGATTAGTAAAATGGTAATAAAGTTAGAATTTGATATTAGAGTTAATTTCTATTTAGCATTGATATAAATATATATACTAAATTTGGTAAAAATGAAGTTTGAAAATACATATATAATGATTTAAAAAAAAAAATTGATAAAAATTCTATAAATTAGACAATAATTAATCTTTTAATCATAAGGTTTATAATTCTCAATCATAATATTCAATTCTCAAAGTTCTAAAAAATCTAAAATCTAAAAGTTAGTCTAAAAGTTGGTCTAAAAGTTGGAAATCTAAAAGTTGGAAATCTAAAAGTTCGAAAATCTAAAAGTTTGAAAATATAAAAGTTTGAATTGAGAAAATTAAAAACCTTATGCTTTCACAAGAAAAGAAAAAAAAAACACGTGATACAAAAAAAATTCTAAAATATATGTAAAAAATTCTAAAAAGTTCTAAAAATTTGTAAATGAATATTATCAAGAAGCAAAAAAAATATGATGTCTAGAATTTGGTAAAAAAAAACAAAAACCATGAATCAATCGACTCTATAAATTCTTTCAAACCAAAATGGCCGTCGTGCTGTAGGTATAGCGCTTGGCTTGGTTCCGTGCTTTCTACTTAGTATCTGCTAACAAGAAGACAATATGGCAGCCATCACCATCGACAATGCCAATCTTGAAATAATGGATTTCTGCTCACGAAGTGGTTCTTCTTCCAAATTTATCTGTTCTTCTGATTTTTCTTTTCACTGGCCTTTTTTTATTAATTAGTTTTAGGTTATATACCACCGTTACTGCCACCAGATTTGTTGTGCCATAAGCGTGAATAAGAAATAAAGAACTTAATTTGTAATACAGAAGAAATTATATGAAACACTGGTTTGATTTAGAAAGTTTATTTAGAAAGAATGATTAAATGATTTTTGTATGTTTGTTGTTCGCTTCTTGAAATCTGCAGTGTAAGAGAGAACTAAAGATCTGTTTTTGCGATAAGGAAACCTCGGTCTGTCTGTCTTCGGGGATGCTCGTAAAGATTCGGTCCATAGTGCATAGGCATAGATGGGACCTGTGCATCTTATATATTTAAGTCGAAGCTGCATCGGGGAAATTATGCATAACAGTAGCAATCCACGATCGTTCGTAGTTCGTTCTATGAAAACTCTGGAACTACTAATTCCAGTAGACAGTTATGATGTAATCTCACATGTTTATACAAATATATTGTGAAAGATAAAAAATAATTAATAATAAAACTTACATTTAAACATTTTACGCCAATATTTACTTACTAAAGAGTCGCACGAAAAGAACCTATGCCATGTTAAACGAAAGCCGGAGTACAGAAGTATGGAATCCGAGTACCAGGAAAATTGACTGTATTGATTAAACTCATCGAAAATGCAATACCCACTTATCACACACAGTTATAAAAAGAAAAAAGAAAACTAACAAAATGTTCCTGGTTTCTTGGAGACATCGAACATGCGACGACCAAGACCGGGCGCATTTGGCGCCCGAGTCTACACGCCCTGTACTTGTTCCTGCGAAACGCAGAAACAAAATGAACGTAATTCATCGACAATTGCCATAATATCAACAAGCATAGATCAACAATGCTTCACTGTATAGATAGGAACTTCGGTTGGCAACGAAACTATTTGAAGTTGTATCGATATAGTAGATACAAATGCCCTCTATTGTTGAATTTGATTTTAGTTCTCATCTGTAATATCTTTGTGACACGGCAATAACAAGGGCACGCAAATGATCTGTCAATGTTTTCTTAAATGAATATTATGTAAATATCATAAGATTGTTAGTAACTAGCTGAATGTGTGACTTCGTTCGCATGGAATTTTTGAAAAGGTTTATGTTGTAGGTTTTTGTCATTTTTATATTAATTGCTATTTATTTCAGTTTTTTGCACATTTAATAAATCAGCAGTGGTGCATGGCATTATGGTAGGTTTATTTAATTTGAAAAATAACTTTGAATAAATGTTATTAATCATTGATCCATTTTTATTGATCATCTATTATTTTTATTTCTAGAATGTTTAATATATATATATATATATATATATATATATATATATATATAATTCTATCAAAATTCATATTACCTCGCGGTGTTCGCGTATCAGGCAAAGTAAGCCACAGCGGAAACACAATGGGTGCGACCAGGAGATAGGTTATTCGTTTCCTGGTAGTGCTAGGCCAGCTCATGTCCAAAGCCTGCGGCGCATCATTGTCTAAATCTACCACCTTCAATAAAAAATATCACATTATTATTAACACCCTCTCAGAGTACTAAGCAAATAATATTCACTTTAATTGCATAATTCAATTGAAGAAAAAATATTCCATGAAATAATAGTTTGATGTTTATGTAAACATATTCAAACTTATATTTATAGATTTTTGAAGGGTAAATTAATAAATTGTCAATATTACATTTAATAGTATTTATACTATCTTCAATGGAATTAAATTTTGCATCTACATTTGAAAGTAATTTGAAATAATTTTGGTCGCACAAATAATATTCAAGATCTTTTACGATTTTCTTACTTTTTCACATGTTATATATATATATATATATATATATATATATCATAATCACGTAATGTATTCTGAAAACTAACAATTTTGATTATTTCAAAATATTGTAGTGCATTGCGACCCTGATTTTAACGCTAAAAATAAAAAATAATCCTTTCCTTAATTTATATTATATACTTATGAAATTTTTAATTCATTTTTAAGAATAATTATGAATATCAGTTATAAAATCGTCGGAAAAAACAATACTTATTGAGAGATTTGTAAAAAATACGATTCGTATACACACACGTTTGTGTGTTTAATTTTCGTTAATCGATTTTATTGAATCAATGATGAATTTACACATCATTAATAAATATGGCTAATAAACCCAAGATAAATAAAATGTTTACGCAAAAATGAGAAATAATAGTTATCTGAAAAATAAAATAATAAACACTAATTTACTTTAAATTTGGCATCGTCTTAAGTTTATTTTTTTAAACCTTAAGTATTGTAGATTACAATAATTGGTTTACATTTTCTGTACAAAAATATAAAATATATATGGTAGCTAATTAATGGCATCCCTAAAATTAATTCTAAAAGAGTAGTACATGTATCATAAATAATTATTGCACAATTATAATACAATCATTTCATAAGTTTGAAATCGTTTTAAAATCAGTTTTAATATAAATATGCTTTACTTATTTACCTATTAATAAAATATATATAAAATATCACAATACTATATACATTTTAAAAACTATGTGAATCATCTGTTAATCGATGGAGTCTATTGAAACTCCTCGAATTAAACACGTTTGTTTCAATGTCATTTTTGCGTTTTCCAAGTCGCTCAGACTGTCCAGATCGACATCATCGATACACAAATGCGAAAATAAGCCTCGCACATAAGCCCGTTTAGCGGCCACACGCCACTTGGCATCCCCATTCGATTGTTCGGCTTGCTTCAGTTGTTTATCTAACATTTCTTCTCGCAATCTTGACTGGTATCTACTATACCTCGCGGCTTCTGTATTCTTTCGCCGCTTGGCCGCTTGTTCTGGGTCAGCCACATGATATTTCGTATTGTCGAAGGATCTGCGCATGTTTGGATTTATTATAGGCGCTATTACAGGCCGCTTTTTCGTATTCAATCGTGAACCCAAAGACGTTATTGTATCCATCAGCAAATCACTGCCATGTTGATGTTTGTGTTCCCGCCATTGTTCACGAAATTGTAATAGTATTTTAGCCGCTTCTAATACTTCAGGGTCATCCGAGGAACTGCTCGTACCACTGTAACCCGAACTGTTCGACCAAGCCCGCTCACGGCCGTACGATCCACTGTCGCTTGATTGTCTGTCATCAAACGATTTGCCGAATAAAACTTCATAATCCTGTAATTTACTATTCGGTTTAATCATACGTCCAGACTTCCTTCTGCCGTCAGGTAAACTATCGTTAAAACTAAAATCACTGTAACTATCATTTTCATCATATTCACATTTAAAACGTTTGATCAACGGCATTTGGTGAAGCATTTTGAATAAAACTACGTAAAATTAAAATAACAATAAAACTGTTTGCACTAGTCGAAGTAGTGCACAAAACTAAATTTGTTTTGCCGCAATGACATGTTTTATAGACCGGCACCTTGGGTCAAAACTCTGCTGATTGGGCGTTGCGGTGTGTGCACAATAGGCTGCGTGCACGCCCTCATTGTTCGTGGATGTTGACAAAGGGTTGCCGAGCCGAGAGCAGTAACGGTTTAATTGGATTTCGTATTTGATTCACCTTGCGAGCACTGCAAATATCTGTGTTAGCATTGATATGATATCTCATGATTTACATTCGCTGTTTAAATATTAGTAACGCTTAGGCTGATGTCATAGGCTTCTTTGTTTACCTGTTCTTAAAATCATATACCCACAATTATTTGAACAAAATATTACTTATTGTTCCTTAGTAAATCTCTAATATAAAAATAAATCATTGAGACATATACATTTTTCATTCAAACCAACATCTAAATTAAATAAAATCTATATACGAATTCGGTTTCGCCACTCTTGCTAGCAAGAAGACATATCACACACGTTAAATTTTTTTTAACTTCCCGTAGGGCAAGTTATAGTAATCGCAAAAAAATCGAAAATGAAAATTTTTATATATCTTTACGTTTCAGAGGTTTCTGAACATTTTGGCATACCTTAGAAAAAAATGGATGTATGTGTGTGTGTGTGTGTGTGTGTGTGTATGTGTGTGTGTATGTGTGTGTATGTATGTACGTGTGTGTATGTATGTGCGGATACAAATTTTCGTCGACGATTTCGGGAACACCGATCAACCGATCGAATAATTCAAAAAACATTCGATTCGTATTGATAAGGAGACGTGCTGATTAGTTTTTGGCGAAGGCAGGTCTAGCCGTTCCGAAGATACGGGGCAAAAAGTGCCGAAAACGGTAACTCAGTTTTTAAGAGAACGGAGCGTGCGATTTGAAAAATTCAAAAAATATTTTACTTGTATTGACAAGATGTAGATTTGATCAAATTTTCATGAAGGCAGGTCTAGCGGTTTCGGAGATCTAATGAAAAAAGTAAAAAAAAAATGCCATTCGGCGGTCAAAAATGATCATTAGACATATACACATCAAATTATCAGATATTTTATAGAGATTTTAACAATAAGTATAATTTTTTTTTACATTTCTATGGGTTCCGTACCAATGCTTATGCGTTAGACGGCGGCGCGGCACTAGCGCGCTTTAACATGTCGTCTTTATGCAGTTCAAGCAGTACGATTGCTTTGAAAAAAGTTCAGAATTTCCAAAATATGTCAAAATGAAGAAAACATTTTTTTTAAAAAAATTTTATGTTTTAAAAAAAAAAATTTTTTTCTCAAAAAAAAATTTTTTTTTTCAAATAAAATTTTTTTTTTTAAAAAAAGTAATTTTTTGTCAAATTTATAGTTCTCAAAAATCTATTTTTTCGAAGTAATTTTTTTCAAAATGTTATTCGTTTTTGAAAAAATAATAATTTTTGGTACGGGAAGTTCCAGCAATTTGCCTTAAGGCACGATGCCCTAATTGCCTTAAGACAGAATTCCACTTACAGCTAGTTTAATTTATTTATTTCAACCACATACTATATTATATATTATTTTACACAAAAATGCGTTTAAAAATACATCACTCAAAATTGGTACATTGCTTATGCTGTTTGCTGTTTATTGTATTAAATTAAAATAATTAAATTAATAGATATAGAACTTTTTGCACTAATGAATCAAACTTTAGAAATGCAAACAATTATTATTAGTAATAGCAGTCCTCTATCTACATACACTACATTTGCAAATCGTTTAATTAGCGAATATAGCAAAAATAAATTTTATTAAGTTTTGAAGTTATACTATTAATTAATTTATTATAATAAACTTATTTCATTCTTTTGCTTATGCACATTATATTAACTTTTATAATTGTTACTTAATTGCTTTCTCATTAAATTTATTCATTAAATAAACTATTCTGATAAATAATATTCTGAAACAGAGATGAAGAAATAATTGCGTAAATAAGTAAATATAAGTACACATATAACCTAAAGAATTGCATCAAATTCACTTAAAAACTATTAAAAGACATTTTAGAATAAAAAATTGTTATGATGTGGATTAAATTTCTGTATTTAGTCTATTATTTTGACATTTGAAATTTATTGATCTTCTATGAAATTTATAATTGATGTTAATTAAAATAAGTATTTTGACCCAAACGAATAAAAATGCTAAAACTTTGGAGTGATAGAAAAAGTAAAAATTGAATTACATTGTTACTAACAATATAGTATGCGCATTAGAATTCTCGAAATATTTAATATTTTGTATTTTTTAAAAAATTACTAAATGTTGCAATGTATTTAGTAAAATGCTGTAAGATTTTCTTAATTTATATTTGCAATAAAATGCAGACCATTAAAAACCAAATACTAATATAATCTTGCTAACATTCCACCAAACATAAATTTCATGCAAACTTGAGTTATTTAATTGAATTTTTACTTAAACTTTTACGACGAGAATTAATTTTATATTGCGTCTCATAAAATTAAATTTTATTCATAAGTACTAAATCGTCATTTATTTTTGATGCTATATGAAATCTAACTGTTTATTGAAATGTTAACTAAAAGGCCTGCAAGATTATGCACGAGTTTTCGTTATAAATTGCAAATTGCGTGATACCTGC